CAGAGGATAAACCCTGTCCAGTTGTTCCGGGAAAGAGCAGTTGGTGGGGGGATGTTTCCGTGGAGAAAGCGAAGCATGTGGGTGAGGCAGGTGGTTTGGCTGTGGTAGAGTGGAGGTGAGAAGAGGAAGAGGATGAGCCAAGCTCTGGAGACAGGAGCAGGAGTAACTGCAGAGATACAAAGGTGTGATGCTGCCAAGGCACACATGGAAGAGCCGTGGGGAGCCTCGAATGCTAGGGTGAGGCACGTGCCCTGTGTCCTGTGAGCAGCTGGGAGTGATGTTCAAAGGGATGCTACAAGATAAGAAATAGATTCCTACTTCCAGCCATACCCCTGGCATTTCATCCTCCAACATGATGTGAGAAACAGCTTTCTTGCACTTCTGCCCATTCTAAAGTCTGCTGAAAAGCGGGGAGCCCAGAAATTGCAATGGCTCTGTGTGCACCCCTGAACCAAAGGAACCAGATTATGCTCTGCCTCAGCCCCCACACACCTGCACAACCCCTGCACCAGGATGAAGGCACAGAGCCTGACTCAGAGACATGAAGGGGAAGAGAGGAAAACAGGAAGAGAATTAAAACCACCAGAAGGAGGGAAGCTACGTGAGTGGGTCTGGTTATGTGGAAGGGGTTGCTCTGGGAATTCGTGTGTTTTGTCCCTTAAGATTTTATTCTGAAAATTCTCAAACACACAGAAGGGTTAAAATAATTGTGCAAAGAAGCCCTATTAGCTAGATTCTGCAGTTGACATTTTACTATAATCACTTTATCATGTATCAGTCCAATTACCTTTCTATCCATTCATCAGTCTACTTTACTTAATTTTTTGTACATTCAACATAAGTTTCAGACTTACACTTTTACATCCACATTATTAACTAGAATTCAATATTGAGTTATTACTCTTTTTTTAGGAAACATTAATATACAGTGAAAGCTTAGATCTTAACCATATTCTTGGGTGAGTTTTGGAAAATGCTCACACTTCAAAAACCAACCAAGACATAAAACATTGCCCTCTCCTTAGAAAATATCCATGCCCCCTCCAATGCCATCCTGTTTCTACTATATCCTTCAGGTCAACTGCTCATTGTCCTCATTTTTTTCATCATAAATTAGTTTAGCCTGTTCTAGAACTTCATATAAATAGAACCAAATGTATGCTTGTGTCCTGCTTCTTTCACTCACCACGATGTCTGTGACAGTCATCCACACTGTTGCTTGTATGAGTACTACTACCATTATACCACTGAGTAGTATGCCATTGCATGAATACTCTACGATAAATAAATCCATGCTCCTGCTGATGGCTATTGGGTTTGTTTATGGTTTGGGGCTATCTAAATAAAGAACAAGGAATATTCTTTTACCATAGTCTCTCCCATCCAAAAAGAAACCCTCTCAGAATTGCTTTATTTGGCTCCAATCTTTTTAATTTTACCATCTCCTTGGAAAAGTACCTCCTGGGGATAATGTGACACTCACAGCCAGAGCAGTTTTGCTGTGACTGTTCCTGCTGTGAAACCGTATCTACCATCAGAAAATGAAATTTCTCCTTCATGCTAAAATTAATTCACGGACGACATTAAAAAAGTGTAACTTCCATAGAGAAATTATTAACACTATTGTTTCTCTGTACTATACATAATTATAAAAATATTTTAAAATGTCATAATTTTAAAATTGTCACTCATCTCATATATGCAAGTTGCCAGTATAGAATGGCTTTATAAAAGCCACTATTTTCACATAAAATGTATGCCAACAATTATATATATATTTTAAATATTTATTTATTTATTTGAAAGAGTTACAAAAAGAGAGGAGAGGCAGAGAGAGAGAGGTCTTCCATCTGATGGTTCACTCCCCAGATGACTGCAACGGCCAGAGCTGTGCCGATCCCAAGCCAGGAGCCAGGAGCTTCTTCCAGGTCTCCCACGCGGGTGCAGGGGCCCAAGAACATGGGCCATTTTCTACTGCTTTCCCAGGCCATAGCAGAGAGCTGGATGGGAAGTGGAGCAGCCAGGACTCGAACCGGTGCCCATATGGGATGCTGGCACTACAGGCAGTGGCCTTACCCACTATGCCACAGCGCCGACCCCATAA